ATATATGTTCAAAAAATTCTGCATCTTTTGTTTCAACAATCGTATTAGGATCCAAAATATCACTTTTCAAAACTAGAAAATGATAAGCAGCACTTTTTTTAGCGTAACCAATAAACATGCAATCAGAAGTTTTAGAACCAATCTTTCTCTTTTTAGAATCAGGTAATAAAACTTTTGCAAGACACCCCCACACTTTTAAATATTTGAGGTTGGGCACAAATCCTTTCCATAATTCATAAGGTGTCTTTTTAGTTTTTCTATGGGGTATTCTATTTTGTAAAAAACAAGCAGACAATAAAGCTTCACCCCACAAGTTATCAGGTGCAGCAGAACTCACAAGCAGAGCATTCATCATTTCTTTTAAAGTTCTATTTTTCCTTTCTGCTATACCATTAGATTCAGGTGAATAAGGAGGAGTTACTTCATGGATTATACCCTCTTTTTCACAAAAATCATTTAATAATAAATATTCTCCTCCTCTGTCTGACCTAACTCGTTTAATCTTTTTATTCAGTTGATTTTCTACTTCTGCTTTATACAAAAGAAACATTTCAAAAGCTTCATCTTTATTTCTCAATAAATATACTTTAGTATATCTTGAAAAATCATCAATAAAAGTGATATAATATCTTTTGCCTCCTCTAGTTTGAACTTGTTTTAAATCCCCTAAGTCAGTATGAATTAAAGATAACAATTCAGTTTCTCTCTGAGTAGAAAAGTGTGGCTTCTTAGTTAATTTAGTTTCTGCACAAACTTCACATTTGTTAAAATCATTACTTTTAATTCCATGAATTAACCCAAGATTTTGTAATCTCTTTATATATGATTTATGAGCATGTCCTAATCTAGCATGCCATATGTCAAAAGAATCAATCAAGTAAGCAGAAGAAGATGCATTTTCATTAATTTCAGCAACACTTAAAACAAACAGACCCTGATTACAATATCCCTTCCCAATGAGAACATTGTTCTTAGTCATGATAACCTTGTCAGACTCAAACGACACTCTAACCCCAGCTTTCCCAAGCAGCGCCACAGAGACTAAGTTTGCCCTAACATCTGGGACATACAGCACATCATTCAGTGCCAGGGTTTTTCCTGATGTGAGTTTCAGCACCACTTTTCCCTTTCCCTGAACCTTGGCAGTTCGGGAGTTAGCGAGGTAGATGTGGTCTTCCCCTTCTTCAAAGGAGGTAAACATCTCTTTATTTGCACAGATGTGCTTAGTGGCTCCTGAGTCCACTACCCATTTCTTCACATCAGTCACAATAAGGGCTTGAGAGACCACTGCAGCTATGACTTCATCATCACTGCCATCATCTCCTTCAACCAAATTCACATTTGGATTAGGAGGATTATCACCCTTTTGAGTAGCCCTTTTTCTGCATTGTGCCGCATAGTGCCCTGGCTTTCCACAGACAAAACAATTGCCTTTCTTCTTGAATTTGGGGTTAGAGTTCTTGGATTTGTAATCAGATTTCTTATTCTTATTATTTTTGTTTTTGGGATCATACCTCTTGGAGCGCGGTTTCAATTCCACCAAGTTTGCTTTGGCAGCTATTTCCTTTCCCTTTGCGGCTTGTATGGCCTTTCTGTTTGTGTCTTCAATTATTATATGGGTAATAAGATCTGACAAGGACAACTGCTTCTGTTTGTGCTTTAACTGCTGTTTGTAGTCACTCCATGTTTCTGGCAGCTTCTCGATCAGTATGCCAGCTACAAACTCATCTGGCAGGTTAATCTTCTCAGCACGCAGCTCCTCCAACAACTTGTGGTACTCGTTGATTTGCAGCTTGATGTCTTTCTCTTCGGTCATCTCCCATTTGTAGATTTTCCCCACTACAAATTTCTGCTTCCCAGCATCCTCAGCAGTGTACTTGAGGATAAGAGATTCCCATATTTTGTGTGCTTCCTTATAGACACAGTACACATCGAACAGATCGTTAGATAAAGTGCTGATAAGAGTGTGTCTGCAAACCTTATTGGCATGTGTCCAGATATCTTTCTGGGCTTGATCAACATCTGGGGTTGGTTCGGACTAAGTAAGAGCAGCAGCTACTCCATGCATGTCAAGGACAGAGTAAACTCGCTCCTGCCACCGCCTGAAATTCCTTCCATCAAAAGTCTCTATTTTTGAAGTGTCAGGGAACGGCCTAGGAATAGGAACTGCTGTTGGAACAGCAGTGACTGAGGCAGCATCATGGTTATTCTGAGCAGCAGTGTTGCGGGGTTGTTCCATGATGTGACTAGCTCTTAAGATTGTTGGTGGCAGCACCTGCAAAAATAGTTAATCCGAGTCACGTCCTAAGGACGCTGTCCTTAAGAGCTATTCCGCAACCACCGGTAGATAAGGATGCGGCACTCCCCAGGATTAAACGGATCCTTCCTGTAAAACAGGGTGAGCAGAACAGCAGAAGATAGTAGTAAACTCAGCAAGTAAGAGAGCACACGAGAGGGGAAAGAAAGGAGCTCGAAAACTCTAGAGCTGTGTGTGTAACCTTAGAATGAAACACCCTTTTATAGGCCCCATATATTTTGAACGCTGGCAGCCTTCTTTTCACATTAAGTGGTCAGTTTTATAGAATTAAATGCATGCCATCAATTTAGGGACGTTGCAAAATCATGGACGTTGGGAGTGAATGGAGAATCCGTTCACTATTTCAAACATTCTTAATATATGATTGTTTAATGTATTAAATGTATTTGAATGGACCTGATTTCAAATTGCTTCAACCGTTTTTATTTAGATTGAAGGGACCGTAATAAAAAACCTGCCATTTTTATTTGAAACCTTCCACCGTTTGATACACACAAAAATAATAAATACTCATTAAGAATTTTCAAACACTCAATCTTTAAGGCATTGAAAATCCGTTTATGATATTAAAACTCTACAATATTTGATTTTCCTATTCCTAATAATAATAGGAAAATCTGTCCATGATTAATGCTCAATTTTTATTTTTATCTTCCCACATTCCTAATTAATGTAGGATCCTTTCTTTGACACACCCAAAAAATATTACAACAATGGTTTCTTATAATATTTTGAAAATATTTATCACAGTTATTTGTAGTCAAGCTATGCTTGTTATTCATAGCATTCAAGCTACGCCTATTATTCATAGCCTGAATTGCGCGTACTGCACTTGTTATGATTCATTGCTGTCGAGTTGGACTTGTTTTTCGTTTTGTGTTTGTTCCTTTGCCGAAAAAGTGTTTAGGAAAAAAATGTTTTCATAATTGTTTCATATCATTGAAAAGAAATTCTTTTATTAAAGTTTCGTTTATGGTTATTTTCTTTAGTATTTATTTTTGTCAAAAATACAAGCATTGTTGTGATAAGTTTATAAATATGTTTTATAAATATATTCAATGATGATAATTATCTATTTGCTGCTGTGGAATATATCAACCAGTATGTATTACACACATTTATTTCAGGTACTTTATAGATATTGATCATTGAAATATGATTCTCATCGCGAGATGATTCAAAATTTATTCACAAATTCTTAAATTATTTCAGTAATAAATTGTGTCATCTCTATTGTAGAGAGAATCACTCCGTTATTAGAATGTGGTATTAATTGTTAAGATAAAGTTAATTTTATGATAAATTTGATTTATTCTTTTTGTTATAAAGAAACTTGCTTCACAAAATTGGACACAAGATGTTATATATACATATATATATAGAGAGAGAGGGGGGGAGGGAGAGAGGGAGGGGTGGGAGGTCTTAAATAATGGTTTAAAAAAAAAAAAGAATGGCTGATTGATTGTTAGAATTATGGTTGGATATCTTTGTTGAATTTCACAAAGGTTAATGAACAAATATTATAATTTTACTAGATATTGTACTAATAAAGTAGACTTTGCTGGTTGTAAATACTCCTTCGATCCTTAATATAAAACCCATTTTACTAATTGGATTAGATTAAGGAAGTTAGGTAAGCTAGTTGATTATAAGAAAAGTGACACATTTTTCCTAAAACATCATAATCATCTTTCTTAATACCCTATCTCCATCTTCTACTTGATTATGGTTGAGAGAATATTTATAGGGGTAATTTAGAAAAAATTGATAAATATGATAAATGGGTCTTATATTTAGAACCAAAACTAACTCAAGAATTGAGTCCTATATTAAAGACCGGAGGAGTAGAAAAATATAAAGTTAAATAGGCTTATAAAGTGAGAAATTCCTTATACTTCGTGCCGGTCACGTTAAAATATGTGAGAGCGTGATTTTTTTTTTTCCCATACCATGGCATCATCGCCTATTTACTGTAGTCTTTTTAATTTTGAATTGATTTTTTTCTTAAAAATGACAATAATTTGTGCAAAATATAACATTCACTAAAAGTCTAATAAAGCTAGTATGGTTGGCAAAACAAAAAACAAAAAATAAAGCTAGTATGTACATTGATTCAAACAAATGCAAACACAATAGAACAAAGTCAAGATTACAAATAAAAAAAGAGGGTTTTTTTCATCGATATCCATCTCACGTTAAGAAAGATGAAACGTGATCAAAGATATAATAATTTTCTTCAATCTTATGTCATAACTGGGCAAGATAATCAGGCATAGAACCGTCAAATGCCAATCTTTATTAAAAAATAATAATAATAATTTAGCTTCATCTTTATTAAAAAATAACAATAATAATTTAGTTTCATCAACAACGCCTCTGAAGGAATGTGTAATATCACAATCTCTATGCAAAATATTAGTAGCTTCAGTGCAATCAGGGCTAATATGTGATCGTTTGCTCGAATATGTGATTGATTCGTGCAAAATATAATATCACGAATTCAAGATCGGGATGGCACAATCATTCATCAGGACGTGACACTGTATTTTTTCACCGTGATGGGTGCGGGGTGCCAAGGAATACGCCCATCACGGGGTGCCAAGGAGTACATGGTGCATTGCTAGCAAGTTCTGTGAGTGACCTTCCAGCGACAGAGAGACGAAGCAAATTCAGCTTTTCCAAAATGAAGGACGATGAGGTCCTCATCAAAATAGCAGCAACCGCACTGAATCGAGCTGATACCCTTCAGAGGAAAGGTTCATACCCGCCCCCAAGAGGTGCGAGCCCTTACCTGGGATTGGAGTGTTTCGGAACTGTTGAAGCCGTGGGAAAAATGCTTCCAGGTGGAAAATTGGTGACCATGTACTCAACATTTATTATTCTGAGTTTTGGGTTTGCAGGGTAGTGGTATATTTTTAATCCAAGTTTCTGAGGAAACGACGAGGAAGATATCAAGGGAACATTGCTTTCCGTGTACTTAGTTGTTGGGTCTCTTAAAAACAGAAAGTTCTTCCACTGCGTCTTGTGATAAGAACATGTGCCTTTCAAAGGAATAAGCTTTGCGTGTTTCTATATTCTAGCATGCTCTGATTGATAGTTGAAATTACTTCTCCCTTCTTGTTGCAAATGAACTATGAAGGTTATTGAATAAAACAATGCGTTTAACCTCAGTGATGATCGAATACACTGATATTGGGGTCCTTTGTGTTCCGTTGATCAGAATTAACCTGAAGGTTCTGTTTTACTCAAGTGGTCGAAACCGACTAGTTGTGTAGTGTGTGAATGAATTAAAATTGCATTAATATATAAGGTGGGGCTTAGAGGTATGTGCTCTTCTTAGTAGAGGGGGTTATGCTGAGAAAGTTGCCGTTCCTACTGGACAAGTTCTTCTGATTCCACCTACAGATTCTCTGAAGGATGCAGCTGCATTTCCTAAGTTTGCATGTACTAATGTGTTTTACTGTTTTTATGATGAGCTGGCTATCCAAAAGAGAGATGTTCTTGGTAAATTTTGATTCTAATAATTTATCTATGAAGAGAAAATTATTTTAGTTAATGTTCAATACCTATGTTGTTTTGAACCAAGTCAGCAGAGGCAGCATATCTCGTGACTCCCATCTTGTCAATTTTTACCACTCTAAATGAAGCTATGTAGCATGCCAGTACTTTTTTTGTATTCTTCTGTTTAATTAACTCTTGTTTGGGTTAAATGCATGCATAGAGTTTGGATTGAATGCATGCATAGAAATTAACAACTCTGATGTTATAGGGAATTCAAAACATGTTTGAGTTAGTTTTAAGACGCACAAGGATGTAAATATTTTATTGAATAACATCCATTCATATTGAAATAACTTCCATCAATGCATCTATACTTCCCGAAGTACCTTTAGTCCTTTGCAAAATTATCGATTCTGTATGCTCTAGGTAAATTACCTGAATTTTCCCTTCTATTGTGCTGACCTTCCATGAGTCTCTAGTTGTGACTTAATAATAGTTATGTTAACTTGAATCCATTAATTCTCAAGTACACGGTGGCTCTAGTGGAATTGGTACATTTGCCATACAAATAGCTAAGTATCATGGAGTCAGAGTACTTGTCACAGCAGGTCCAGTAGTTTTTATGCAACTTTTTTCTTGTAAATTAACTATCTTCAATAGGTCCATTAAAATTGGCACATTTCGTGGAGCTAACTATGTATCTCTATGATTGAAATTTCTGAGTGGTGAATGCCAAGCACTCGTCCTTTTAGATGTGGATTAGCAGGAAGTAAAGAGAATTAGCTTTCTGCAAGGATCTTGGTACTGCTGCATGTATCAATTATAAAACGGAGGACTTTGTTACAAGGGTAAAGCATTTAAGCGTTGATATGAAGCTGTTCAGTACCCCTTGATGCTTGATTAATCTAATGTTTACATAATGTAATTGCTGTTTAATGATAGGCGTTAATGTTATTCTTGATTTTATGGGACCATCCTATTATAGCCGGAACCTTGAGAGCTTGAAGGTTGGTGGGAGGCTGTTTATTATTGGCTGTGAGGGGGGTACATCGACTGAAGTAAATCTTGCTTCTTTTGTTGCTAAGCATCTTACTGTTCAAGGTATTGCTTTCTTTCTTTGATTATTTTGACGGTTCAGTTCTGATAAAGATTCTTTATTTGCTTTTTTAACTGGGTTCAAGATCACTTTGCTTCAATCCATATAATTGCCTGTTGAAGTACAAAGAAGTAACTCCAACAGCTGATAAAGCTAACTTCCAGTACTGCAAAAACAATAGTGATAATTTGACTTCAGAGTGCCTCTTAACAGTCAAGACTTGTTCTTCATAAGGGAACCTGACTCCTGGCTCATTTAATTCATTTCTCAACATAACTTCAACCTCATATTTGTTCTCCTTTCATTATGCTTTTTCTTTTTAGGGAAAATTAATTTGACAGTCCTCATGTTTTCATCAAATTTTGAATCAGGTCCCTATAGTTTTTTTTTCTTTTTATTGGGTCCTTGTTTTTTAGTCTGTTAACTATCTCAGCCCTTCTGTTAACAAAGCCGTTAAATTAATTGATGGTGAATGACGTGGCAACTGAGCACACTGTTCTTCCCCCACCTCCCTCGGCCTCTCTCTCTCTCTCTCTCTCTACTCCTCTCAGTCTCCTTTGAAGTAAATTGTTCAAGCTCTCCTTTGTATGGCCATCACTTTTCAACGTCTCTTCTTCTGCAACATTACTTAAGGATCAGCCGGGGGCCAAAAAAAAGCAGAGGAGGAAAAAAACGTTAACAGGGGGAGGTGTGATGAAATCAGCAAAGAATACATATTTCTAGTTTACGTATTACAATGTATCCACTTGTTTCCCAGATAACCTCTGAGAATAAATTTCACAGGTAAGGATTGTTCTATTCTAACAAATAGACCAGTCCAAAAAAATGATAGGAAGACGAAGAAAAAAGGATCAAAATTTGTTTGACTTATTGGCTAGTATGTGGAAAAGAAGGAATTTATAACCTTCGTAATGGATGACAGCAGCAAATTGTTCCATGAATATGAACCAATTTTTGGGTGTATGAGGAATGGGGAAACTAGCAAGAATAAAGCATCTAAAGCTTCTCAGGGCAAAATCATCTGTTAAAAAATTAATAATAAATGAGTTGGCTGCACCTTTCCTGTCGCACCTCCCTCTGCTAACGTCTTTATATTTTACTTTGAAAGAGAGGAGTATAGAGGGGGGGAGAGAGGGAGAAAGAGAAGCCGAGGGAAGCAGGAGAAGAACAGTGTGCTCAGTTGCCACTTCATTCACCATCAATTAATTTAATGGGTTTGTTAACAGAAGGGCTGAGATAATTGACAGAGTAAAAAACAAGGACTGCACAAAAAGAGAAAAAACTATAGAGACCCGATTCAAAATCTGATAAAATTATAAGGACTGTCAAAGTAGTTTTCCCTTCTTTTTAAACTACGCACTTTGTCTGGGTTTACAGATGAACCCAAATTATATCACACGGTCAGTTTCTATGCAGGTGCTGGTTTGTGAAACAGAAGTCCTGAAAATAAAGCCATGATTGTTAGTGAAGTAGGGAAGCAGTTATGGCCCGCAATTGAAGCAGGCAAGGTTAAGCTTGTGGTATACAAATCATTTCCTCTATCTGAAGTAGCAGATGCTCATCAGCTCATGAAAAGCAGCAAACGTATTAGGAAGATTCTGCTTCTTCCATGACCCTGCACAAGCTATTCCGACCCAAGCCTTTAGAACTCGGACCTCTATCTGTCAATGATTGAGGTGACTTGTGCCGTGCACATAGGAAGTTGTAATACTTATAGCTATATGATGGTTTCTTAACAATTAAGCATCCCATAATGAATTGATTCTGTACAAGATAGCAAAATGTATGTAGCTACTGTATCCGTGAGGATTCTCTCTGAGGTGATTTTAAGTTTAGAAGTTGATGGAGTTGTGTATATTTAAGAAAGAATGGAGTGATGCTATTGACAAGGAAAAATGAATAAAAATGAAAAAAAATGAAAATTATCTCATATCAAAGGTTTCAAGAACTCCTCCAGTAGCTAGATTATTTGTCACTCGTACTTATCAGTCTTATTTCTGCAAGGTAAGGTTGCAGGACATTTTAGAATCAAGTTGACCCTACCACATGAGTTCCACCATGTTATGGTTGCTTTGATTTCATCAAGAGTAGGTGTTGTTGACAGATCAAGAGGAAGCCTCTTCAGAGCCTCCCAGGATGCTGTTTCAAGACTTCTCAAAGAAGGGTAGAATGGTTCATTTTTAGAATCAAGTTGATCCTACTCTAATGAGTTCCGCCATGTTATGATTGCTTTGATTTCTTCAAGAGTAGGTGTTGTTGACAAATCAAGAGGAAGCCTCTTCAGAGCTTCACAGGATGCTATTTCAAGACTCCTCAAAGGAGGGCAGAGAATGGTTCCATCGTATATATTCTTCAAAAGGGGCATGGACTTCTGTTTTATCCTCTTCAACTTTGGATACTAAATTCCAAAATCATCACCTCCCATGAAATCTCCCTCTTCTCCTTTCATTATGTACTCCATACCAATACAATTGTGGACACTTAGTTTCTTCCATATTCTTAAGTTGAAGTAAAATCTGTCCTTGACAATAGAGAGTTCAATTTTGGACGGTATTCGACAGTAATGATTTTCAAGCTCATGAGTGTGTCAAACCTCACCACAACCTTGAGTATTATCTTCAGGTTTCCCAGAGCAATGGTTTCGTTTGGTCTAGAATATTGAGAATGTGGTTTCGTGGAATGTTGAGAATGAGAGGTAACGATTATGATTGGGATTAAGAAAAGCCATTAAAAAAAGTGTTTAGTGTGAGGAGTTACTTGTTACTTGGGATTAGACAAACACATGTAAGTGGAATTGGAGAATATTAAGGAGTCTACGTTATTCACCAAATGCCACTAGTGTATGGAAAATAAGATTGCCATAAAATGGTTGCTAAATGTGTTGTCATGTTAGCACCAAGCAGCCAAAGTCACGCAGATTAAGGAGAAAAATTATAATATGCATTAATACTGGGGAAATTTTACAAAAGAATGGCTAAGGATTATTTGTTTGGCATCTAGAAAGGAGTGAATTGGCATCTAGAAAGAAGAAAAATCCTCTCTCGAGGAGGCAAATCTGATTGCAACTACAAAAAGGCCAAAAATATTGAGGTCAACCCAACAAAAGAAAGGAAAATGAAAACACTCTTTCCTAGCACACTCATTGATCGATCTCTTAAAGCCACATGGTCAGAGAGTAAACACTAGGTTGGTATTATCGACCAAAAGGCTTATAAGGAGGAGGAAGAGAAGAGCATAATGATCAAAAGAGCGCTCAAATAGGGGTAACAAAGTAAAATTGCCAAGTTTTGAAATCCCATTTTGGGGTCCTTGAGCTGATTTGGGATTAGTGATATTGGAGTCCGTAACTTGAAATTTTGGTATTTTGAAGGTCTTTATATGGGATTTTTCCTTTAAAAAAAAAAAAAGATTAAAGCCTATCTCAATTATTTATTCACAACTCACAGTATGAAAGAATTGAATTAGTCGAATAAAAATAATATAATCTTTCAAGCTATAAATGGATATATATATATATATATATATAATTGATACAAGGACATAGTATGAACCGTAAATGAAAAACAAAATTGAGACAAGTCAAGAATCAAAATATCAACATATATGCCTTAAGGGGGGTATTATTAACTCAAACAACTAGCAATTTTTAATTTGTACGGTACAAGCTTAATCAGCAATAAGCAAGTACATGCGCTTATTTGTTTCTCTAAATATAAGATCAAATCAAAATGCATTGAAGTATATTGGCTTAAAGCACAGTTGAAACCGTCACTTCCTTTTGCGTTTTCGGATCTTTAGGACAATGGACAGTCTTTCGTAGTTGGAACGTGGCCCCTGAAGTGCTGCGTTTCGCTAATTTTCAAAATGGGCGATTAGTGATTGTAGCCATAGTTTTCTCTGCTTCTAGGCATTTCAGTT